GGGGGGGAGAAAAGTTTTGGAGCTCGGATGTTTTTTTTTTAATTTAAGGTAGAAAACCCCCCTCTCCTCATGACACAACCCATAGAACGGAGTAATTATTAGAACAGAAAAACGGGCCGCCCTCGAATTAACTTTCAGACTATCTGTTATCGAATGAAGCGGCGTATTCACCTCCCCCCCCCCCACTTTAACAGATTTATAGTCTGTTGCTTTTAACCACTCACCCACTATCCTGAAGATTTCAGCATCCTACAGGATCTGAACCTGTGACCTTCACTCCCTTGCAAAAGGCCAGACTTCCCTCGCCGTCAAAGTCACTTATTTAGAATAAATAAAAGAACACTACTTTCCTCATGAAACAAGGCATAACAGGCCTGCACACACATAGGATTTGAACCTGTGACCTTCACCTTCACTCCTTGCAAAAGCCCATACTTCTCTCACTGGCAGCTGTCAACTGATTTAGGACAAAAGAGCATAGACTCTCCTTTCCTTAAAAAAAAAACATGAGACATATCGGACCTGCAAACCCCTAGGATTTGAACCCGTGACCTTCACTCCTTGGTAAAGGCCAGATTTCTGTCACTGCCATCTGATTCAGGATAAAAGAACACTCCTCTCGTCAAGAAGCAAGACGTAACGGGAGTGCACACCCATAGAGTGGAGCGATTAACACGTTTTTAAAAGGAAAAATAGGAAAAAAAACGGCCTGTTCTCGAATGTACTGGCAGACGTTTTCTTCCTCTATTTGCAAAAGCTCAAGCTTCTCCCATTCTCAACCGTACAGTGCCCACGTAAAGGGGGGCCTACCTAGGCCTGTGTGCTGACGGACCCGTGCACTGGCCACCCTCACCCATTTCCCCCCCGCATAGGCCCGCAGCATAGTCACACATAGTTGCGTGATTGATCATTCACTCGATGTCCAGGTCGGAGTTGCCCTGCCCTGTGTGTCTTTGTGTGATGTGTGATGGGCATGTGTGTGTTGCACAGCCACATATACTTGCCACGGGTCTTGTGTGCAGCGCTTGCTTGCTTGTGTGGGTGCGTGCCGTCTCTTGCTCTCGCGCTCTCTAATATAGTGCATCCATCCACACAATGCATGTGAGTGTGGGTCGTCTGTCTGTATGTCTGCCTCGCTCTCTGTGCCGCACACGTGCACACACAGACTATCAGAAAGAGAAGGGATGGAACGTGTCTTGCGTGCAGTACATGCATGTTGCATGCTCACAGATACTTTCCATGTGTATCGTGTGCAGTGCATGCACATGTGCATGGTGCACGATGGCGCTCACTCTCTAATGCATTGCATCAATCCACAACAGGGTGTGTGTGTCGTCTGTCTGTCGGCCTCTCCCTTTCTCTCTGTCTCTTTCTATCTCTCTCACACACACGAACGGACCATCACTAAGAGAACAACAGATGGAATATAAGGTTGAACTGTGTGCTGAAATGTAAACGGTAACGCGCCCCCCCC